AAACGGAATAAGAATAAGAATATATATGTGAGATAACAATAAGTGTTCCTTGCTATGCAAGAACACTTAATAAGAATAAGAATAAGAATATATATGTGAGATAACAATAAGTGTTCCTTGCTATGCAAGAACACTTAATAAGAATATATATGTGAGATAACAATAAGTGTTCCTTGCTATGCAAGAACACTTAATAAGAATATATATGTGAGATAACAATAAGTGTTCCTTGCTATGCAAGAACACTTAATAAGAATAAGAATATATATGTGAGATAACAATAAGTGTTCCTTGCTATGCAAGAACACTTAATAAGAATATACTTGTGAGATAACAATAAGTGTTCCTTGCTATGCAAGAACACTTAATAAGAATATATATGTGAGATAACAATAAGTGTTCCTTGCTATGCAAGAACACTTAATAAGAATATACTTGTGAGATTAACAACATGTGAGATAACAATAAGTGTTCCTTGCTATGCAAGAACACTTAAATATAAAGAATCAGGCCTATGGTACTATTTAAGTGCTGCAAAAGGGTTGATTCCTAAGTTTTGGTGGAAGATGGAGGTTCCGACGGAGGAGGATTGGATCAATAGGGTAAACCAGATTAGCAGAATGGAAAAATCTTATTATACTCAGGAAGATAGGCTGAAATTATACTACTCACGATGGGATAAATGGGAAAAATCAGGATTGAAAGAGAAATATAGAATACTCTAAACTAGGAAATCACTTGAAGTTATTGGGCCTAGAGAGACTTTGAGATCTTGCAGAGAGGAGGGAGGGGGGGGGGAAGGAGGGGAAAAGGGGGGTGGGGAGGGATGGGAAAGAAAAGAGGTAAATAGAAGGAACAAGGTAGAAATATATTGACTATTTATATGTATTGTGTTTCTCTATATGAAATTTTTGTTATAATATGAAAAATTAATAAATATTTAAATTAAAAAAAAAAAAGGATAAAATGTGAAGTTTTCTGGATGGGTAGGGAAGGTGAGGGCTTCGAGCTTCCGGAAGTCTTCTCAGAGCCCTGACAGAAGATCAAAGTGCTAGGCATCAAATTTTGCCGGAGGATTATAGCAAAGGAAATTGAGAATCTAGGCTGTCAGATACTGATGTTAAAGTGAGATGCTGGAAGGGGAGGCGTTTGTCCCTAAGGGAAAGGGTCGACCGAATTAAAACTTACTTGGTCCCCATTTTCTTGTACGTCAGTTTCGTCTGCCTCTTGCCAGAATCTCTCTCTACGAGAGTCTACAGCTGTTTTTTCCAGCTATTGTGGGAAAACAGGCTGAACGTTGTAAGGCGGGATGTGATGTACTGATCCAGGTGGGAGGGTGGCCTAGGTATGGTCAACCCAGTTGTTTTCTTCTCTCTGATGTTTATTAAACATAATATTGGTAGCATGCTGAAAGAGAGACCGCCTGCATGGGTAGGTTTTTTCCAAGTCTGGTTTATTAAGCATTTTCTGAACTGCTGGGAGAGAGGCGGGCCAGTGAGAAGCCTGAGGGTCAAGCACGGTAAGCTTGTGTCGCCCCATGTTTGAAGATACTTAGGCGGTGGTGTGTGACTGCGGAGGAGGTTCGGTCACTCCCTGGGAGGCTCCTGAGGGAGAGGGTCGTGGCCTCGGCGTTTCATGCACCTCTGGCCTTGAAGGATTGCCCAGGCCATATTTTGCCGGAGGGTCTGAGATTGTTAAATATGGAAAGGATTCCCTTGAAGTTTAGGGACCAAGCCTGGCTTGCGTTCCACGGCAGGCTTTACGTGAGGGGAAATTTGAAGTGCTGTTCTCTGGATAACCGTGGTTGCCCGAGGACGGAGTGTGGGGGCGAGGTGGAAAGTATTGACCACTTCTTGCTTCAATGTCCTTTCAATGTAGAGGTGTAAAAGAGGTCGGGAGAGCTCTGGACACCCCTTTCCTGTACTGCATGTCTTATGCAGAGTGGGTGTATGGGGCATTGGAAAGTCGCTCTGGTTTTGATTTGAACACTCTGTTTCTAGTTTGTCTAGTGGTCCGTTACTACACCTGGAATGCACTGTCAGGGCTCCCAGGTATGACCAGAGGTGTGTGACTGATGCAGGGAAACGCAGACTTCAGATATGTGATAAACAATACAATTTATTAACACTAACCATACAAACATAAACGCAGTGCAATACTAAACATAATACAGTGCAAACAAACCCAACCAATCACCCACAGATAACAGTACATACAAGCAAGCGTCGTCAGGCAGGCCGGGTCAATATCAATTGGGCAGGTAGGTACAGGGGGAGCAAGCAGAGAATGGTCGGGGTCACAGGCCAGGTTCAGCAGGTAGCAATCAGCGTAGTACAGAGGGTCAGGCAGAGGGATGGTCAGGGTCACAAGCCAGGGATCAAAACAGGTAACAAGCAGCGTAGTACAGAGGGTCAGGCAGAGGGACAGAAACAGGATGCAGGACAGATACAGGGCCCAGGACAAACACAACACCAAGGCAGAGTCTGTGGGTCTGGCCATCCCTTAAATACCCCAGCATCATCAGTTCCAGGTGTTAGCTGGCTGAAAGGTTGAGTCTCTGATTGCTGGGAGCACCCGCTGGCCAGCCCTGGTACTGCAGATCAAAAGGCAGGTGAGTCCCACCATTGCTGGCCAGTCCATTCCTGACATGCACGGTGTCAGGTCTTCTTGCGGTAGAAGGTCCTTCCTGTTCAGGTGGTGGTGTTTGACATCCTTGGTGAGGTTGGGAAAATTTGGGGTCTTGAGAAAGACAGACTGCGGTGAAGGGCCTGGATAGAGGCGTGAAGGAATATTGGGCCTATAGCTGCGGTTTGTTGCTCTCTTGGTGTGGTTACTCTCCTGATTTCTCTTCTTTTTTCACCCCCCTAGATTTTGGGTAGTAGGTTTTTTTTGAAGAAAGGCTACAGGTACCTGAAAGTATGGGTTTCTTAGCCGTCATTGGGTAAGTTAGTAAGTGTGACGGGAGTGACTTTTGGGGGTGGGGGACCTCTGTATCATTTCCCCAAATTCTTATGTTTAAGTGACCCTGTGCCTGTTAGGGTACAGGGTGTGTGTAAATGTGAATGTCCCAGTGTCAGAGCTCCAGGGTATGACCAGAGGTATGTGAACTGACGCAGGGAAACGCAGGCTTCAGATATGTTATAGACAATATAATTTATTAATACTAACACATAAACGCAGTGCAATACTAAAAACATAACACAGTGCAAACGAACCAAACCAAAGCACCCACAGATAACAATACATACAATGCAAGTGTCGTCAGGCAGGCCGGGTCAATAACAATCGGGCAGGTAGGAACAGGAGGAGCAGGCAGAGAGTAGTCAGGTCACGAGCCGGGTACAGCAACTAACGGGCAGGTAGGTACAGGGGGTCAGGCAGAGAATGGTCAGGGTCACAAGCCAGGGATCAAACAGGAGAAGTCAGCAGAGGTCAGGATCAGGCAGGGTCGGCAACTCTAATCAGTCAGGCAGGAACAGGAATGCAGGTAACAAGATACAGGGGCCCATAGAAAAACACACACCAAGGCACAGACTGCAGGTCTGGCCATCCCTTAAATACACCTCGTAATCAGCTTCAGGTGTTTGGCTGACTGCAGGGTTGAGTCTCTGATTGCTGAGAGCACCCGCTGGCCAGCCCTGGTACTGCAGCCCACAAGGCAGGTGAGTCCCACCATTACTGGCAAGTCCATTCCTGACAGTACCCCCCCCCAAGGAGCGGCCTCAGGACGCTCCAAACAGTCCTAGCTGGGCAAAATGTTCCACCACCCGGGTCTGGTAACTGGCGGGATATCAAAGACTGGCACATCGGGCTGGACTCCGGGCAGCGGCACATCGGGCTGGACTCCGGGCAGCGGCACATCGGGCTGGACTCCGGGCAGCGGCACATCGGGCTGGACTCCGGGCAGCGGCACATCGGGCTGGACTCCGGGCAGCGGCACATCGGGCTGGACCCCGGGCAGCGACACATCGGGCTGGACCCCGGGCAGAGGCACCGGGCCCCCAGGCGGAGCGGCAGGCACCGGGCCCCCAGGCGAAGCGGCGGGCGCCGGGCCCCCAGGCGGAGCGGCGGGCACGGGGCCCCCGGGCGGACCGACAGGCTCGGGGCCCCCGGGCGGAGCAGCGGGCACAGGGCCCCCGGGCGGAGCGGCGGGCACAGGGCCCCCAGGCGGAGCGGCGGGCACAGGGCCCCCAGGAGGGGCGGCGGGCACCGGGCCCCCAGGAGGGGCGGCGGGCACGGGTCATCAGGCACGACGGCGGGCATCGGGTCACCAGGCAGCAGGTCATTTGGCTCGCCAGCGGGCACCGCGTCATCTGGCAAGGCAGTGGGCACCAAGTCACCAGGCACGACAGTGGGTTCCGAGTCAATTGGCATGACCGCGGGCACTGGGTCAGACATTGGATCGTCTGGCTCGACAGCGGGCATCGGGCCACCAGGCATCAGGTCATTTGGCTCGACAGCGGGCACCGTGTCATCTGGCAAGGCAGTGGGCACCGGGTCACCAGGCACGACAGTGGGCTCTGAGTCAATTGGCACGACAGCGGGCACCGGGTCATCAGGTACCGCATCGTCTGGCTCGACAGCAGGCACCGGGTCATCTGGCGCTGGATCGTCTGGCTCGACAGCGGGCATCGGGGTCACCAGGCATGACAGCGGGCACTGGGGTCATCAGGCATCAGGTCATTTGGCTCGCCAGCGGGCACCGCGTCATCTGGCAAGGCAGTGGGCACCGAGTCACCAGGCACGACAGTGGGCTCTGTCAATTGGCTCGACAGCGGGCACCGTGTCATCCGGTACCGGATCGTCTGGCTCGACAGCGGGCATCGGGTCACCAGGCATTGGATCGTCTGGCTCGACAGCGGGCATCGGGTCACCAGGCATGACAGCGGAAACCGGGTCATCAGGTACCGGATCGTCTGGATCGACAGCGGGCATCGGATCATCTGGCATGACAGCGGGCACTGGGTCATCAGGCATTGGATCGTCTGGCTCGACAGTGGACATCGGGTCACCAGGTATGACAGCGGGCACCGGGTCATCAGGTACCGGATCGTCTGGCTCGACAGCGGGCATCGGGTCACCAGGCATGACAGCGGGCACTGGGTCATCAGGCATTGGATCGTCTGGCTCGACAGCGGGCATCGGGTCACCAGGTATGACAGCGGGCACTGGGTCATCAGGCTGGATCAGTTCATCAGGCTGGGTAGGGACATCAGGCTGGGTAGGGACATCAGGCTGGGTAGGGACATCAGGCTGAAGTGCGGGTGCCGAGGCACCAGGCTGAACCACGGAAGGCAGGTTCTCAGACGGCAGGCTCACCGGTTTGGATACTGGCAGGATGGTACTGGTTGGAAAGAATTTTCGCTTTTTTCTGGTTTTAACTACTGGAGCACTGCAAACGCAGGTCTACAAACGAATGGGACAGCTGGAGGACAGAGAAGAGCTGGAAGATGGAACAGAGGAGGGAGCAGCTGCCACAGAGGACCTCTCCACAGGGCCAAAGAAAGGATAGGTGCAGCGAGTGGGAGCAGGGGACCGGTATGTGGTAGTTAGAGTATACTGGGCAGTCACTGGGGGTGCTGTCGGGGATGCAGGAAGAGTGCCTCGAGCAGAGGAATGACGTTGCAAGCTGACTGAGGCTGGGTGCAACAAGTCTGACCATGTCTGCAGTATGGGTCTACACAAAGCATGTGATGGGTTGAACAAAGCTGAGCTTACACAAAGCCTGTCTGGTCAAAGACTGCACTGCGTTTATACAATCTTTTAATACCTGTGGTGAACATGCAGCATAATGCTCCAAGAAGCAATCCACATCATCCTCTAATAACCATACCAGGGACTCTACCTGGTCTGCACTAAATGGTGGCAAAAAGTCATTCCTGCTTTCAGGGGTACTAGATGAAGCCAACTCTACACAAACCTGAATCAAAGGTTGCACCTCAGAGAACTCTGTGCCCTGATCTACTAGAACATGAGCGATCCGTATACATTCTAGCAGTTGATCCCGGGTATACTCCCTCAGAGTCTGATAAGCATATTCTCTGTCATCAAAAACCAGCAGCGACAAATACACAACCTCGTCAAGATCCATCCTTCCCAGCAACAAGCCAAGATGGCTTCCCTGTGCAGCCACTTCTGGTCAGGATTGGCCTTGGTGTAATGTCAGAGCTCCAGGGTATGACCAGAGGTATGTGAACTGACGCAGGGAAACGCAGGCTTCAGATATGTTATAAACAATATAATTTATTAATACTAACACATAAACGCAGTGCAATACTAAAACATAACAAAGTGCAAACGAACCAAACCAAAGCACCCACAGATAACAATACATACAATGCAAGTGTCGTCAGGCAGGCCGGGTCAATAACAATCGGGCAGGTAGGAACAGGAGGAGCAGGCAGAGAGAGTAGTCAGGTCACGAGCCGGGTACAGCAACTAACGGGCAGGTAGGTACAGGGGGTCAGGCAGAGAATGGTTGGGGTCACAAGCCAGGGATCAAACAGGAGAAGTCAGCAGAGGTCAGGATCAGGCAGGGTCGGCAACGAATCAGTCAGGCAGGAACAGGAATGCAGGTAACAAGATACAGGGGCCCATAGAAAAACACACACCAAGGCACAGACTGCAGGTCTGGCCATCCCTTAAATATATCTCGTAATCAGCTTCAGGTGTTTGGCTGACTGCAGGGTTGAGTCTCTGATTGCTGAGAGCACCCGCTGGCCAGCCCTGGTACTGCAGCCCACAAGGTAGGTGAGTCCCACCACCTGTGGTGAATCCATTCCTGAGCTTGTTGTGGAAGGTGGTGTGCAGGCTGTGCTCTGAGCTTCCAGAGGCCTTTGTTGGAACCGGGGACTGGATTCCTCTCCCTGCCCAGGAAGGATGAGTGTTTCTGGGCAGGATCCTGGTGGCGGGGGCCCCCCCAAGGGCCCTAGTACCGGCCCCACGAAAACACCAGTGGAGGACCTGGGAATGGGCCCTAGGCCAGGGGAGAAATACAGTGCATACAGAGAGCGCACTGTGGCCCATATCAACCGCTTGAACAAGGAGGAGGAAAAGCTAAGTGGGTTGAGACTGGAGTTGAAGAAATTCAGAGCTTCGTATGACCGGGTCTGGTCCTCCAAGCGCCATACCATGAAGCCTCAGTTGGAGATCTTGGAACAGCGTGTCAGCGAGCAGGTCAAGATGGTTGCTGCACTAAAAGCGGCCAGTGGAATCCTGCGGGAAAGATATACTAATGAAGACAGGTTTAGATCTGCAAGGAGCAAGCTTGTGGCAGAGGCCCGTGGTCATGCTGAGGAAGAGTCATCTCTGGAGGAGTTTTCTGATGCACCAGCAGGTGAGGGAGCCTGCCGGGTGGAGGCTGATCCGGCCAGCCCCCCCATGCATGCTGAGGAAGTATTACCTGCAGTAAAGGTTGTGGGGTCCGGCTCCATTCCCCCCCCAGCAGCAGCAGCCCCTGGACTGGGGGTCTCAAGTGGAGCCAGCTGAGAGAGCTGGAACTATGCATTTTATTAAAGAAATGGAGTCCCCTTTACATGTAAAGCAGTTTGCTTTTACATCTGAGGAATCGGAGGATGAGGATGACAGGTGTAAGAAGCCAGCTAAGCCCAGAGAGAAAGAAAGAGCGGTGTTTGTCAGCTTGGAAAGGATCCCCAGCAACTTGGTGACGTCTGCAGCAGCAGGACTGAAAGTGTCAGAGGTGTTGGGAGTGAACCCATCCAGCAGTGAAGTGGTGGCTGAATCCAGTGATCTAAGTGTTGGAGATGCTAAGGAGAGCGGGGTGTCCCTGCCCAGGGATGTCGGCATGCAGTCTGGAGGTGTGAAGGAGAGCGAGGTGTCCCTGCCCAGGGATGTCAGCATGCAGTCTGGAGATGTGAAGGAGAGCGGGGTGTCCCTGCCCAGCAGCGGGGGTGTGCCTGCAAGTCAGGGTCCTCATGGCATGGAGGAAGACAAGGTGTTGCAGCCCAGAGGCGGGGGTGTGTCTGCAGCTCAGATTCCCTGTGGCTTGGAAGATCATGGAGTGTCCCCGCCCACTGGCAGTACAATGCTGGCTCTGGGTCTCTGTGATGCAGCACGGGGAGGACTGTCCCTGCCCAGTGGTGAGTCATGTCCTGGTCTTTGTGATGGTATGAAGAGTGGAGTGGCCCCGCCCATAGGTGGAACTGAATCTGTGCTCAGAGACCAGCGTGTCTGTAACGCTGGAGGACTGGCTACAGCCATGAGTCTGCAGGAGGGTAAGAGTTTGGTGGGGGGGAAGGAGGAGGAGGAGATGATATGTGATGCACCAGGTGGGGAGAGTGTAAAGTCTGTGATCTCTAGTTCTGCTCTTACAGTTCCTGGGTCTGTCCTTGTTCCATGTGCTTCTCCCATCCCTGCTGCCCGTAAGGCAGTCCCTGCTCCTGTCATCCATGCTGGCTCTGGGCCAGTCCCTGCTCCCTCTGCTCATCCCATCCCTGCTGTACAGGGGTCCATCCCCATTCCCTCTGCTCATCCCATCCCTGCTCCCTCTGCTCATCCCATCCCTGCTGTTCGGGGGGTCCATCTCTGCTCCCCCTGGATCCATCCCAGCTGCGGGCTCTGTCAGTTATTCTGCAGCGGTCAGGGGGTGAGAGGGGTGTTAGAGTCCCGGGTAGGGGGTTCCCCTTCTTCGGTGGCACGGCGTAACGTGGTCCAGTTACGGTGGACGGGTGAGGGCGCCCCCCAAAATAGGAGGGAGGTGATAGACAGAATTATAGAAATGGGCTTCAGGGCTAGTGAGATCTTTGCCTTTTATTGCTCCTTTGGGTGCAGGTGAATACGATGTATCTTTTGTGAGGGCTGATGGCCTGGATTTATTCTGGCAAAGGTATGATGATAGGTGGAAGGGGTCTCCCAGGTGGGCGGGTTTAACCCCGAGGGTCATCTCTCGTCAGCCTTTGGTAAAAAATGTGACCATTCTGGTGCGGAATGAGTCCATCCCAGCAGCGGACATTATGGTTTGGCTAGGCTGCTATGGAGATGTGTTGAGCCCATTAAGGAAGATCCTAGATGACAGGGGAATTTGGACAGGCGGCTGGATGGCTATGATGAGGTTGAAGGTCACTGATAACGTGATCAAACACCTCCCCTCCTCCGCTTTCCTTGGGAAAGACAGACTTATTTTTTATGCAGGCCAACCGAAGTTATGTCATCGGTGTGGGAACAAGCAGCATTTTGCGTCAAGATGTGCAGTCCTGAAGTGCTCATTGTGCCAGGGGATTGGGCATCTGGCTAAGGACTGCAACGAAATCAGGTGCAACCTGTGCCTTAGGCTAGGCCACTCATATAGTCGTTGCCCTGAGGCACTCCATAACCAGCCGGAGGTAATAGACGAACTGTTGAGGTTGGAAGCGGAAGAGCTTAAAGAGGCCTCCAAGGCTCGGGACGATGCGGCGGCTGTAGCTGCTGCATCGGCGGAGGGATCATCTGTTGTTCCTGATGTTGCTTCCCCTGTGTCTGCCTCTTCCCCCAAGGTTGCATCTGTTTCTGTGAGTGTGTCTTCCCCTGACCAAGTGTTGTCTGTGTCTCCCTCTGTCCCTGTCCCTCCGGTTAGGAGGAAAAAAATTTGTGAGGCGGCTAAAGGTGCTGGGCTTGTTGGGCAGGGTGTGCCCCCCTCTCCGGTTCTTCTTCCGCGGCGTCGCTGCAATGTCCCAGGGGTGGCGGTGGAGGAGTCAGGAGGTGGGAGGGAGGCCTCAAGCCCAGATGGGGGAACCCCGGTGGAGAAAGGGGGGGGTGAAGAGTGGTCTGTAGTGGGAAAGGGTGGGAGAAATAGGACAGTAATTTCCCCCGCCACATCCCTTTCATCTCTGGAGGCGGATGATCTACCTTTAGAAAATAGGTTTGGGACTCTGTCTGGGGATGGGGAGGAGTTAGGGGACTCCCTTGCCCCGATGGAGGCCTCTGGTGTGTCCCTGAAAAGGACCAGGCCCTCAGCTAAGAAGGGGAAAAAGAAGGCTAAGAAACGCCTCTCTCAATTACCTTAATGGCAGTTCCCTGCTCCGATAAATGTGGCAACCATTAATGTTGCCAGCATAAAGTCTGTGAGTGCTAGAAGTTCGGCCTTATTTTTGCTCAGTGGTGTTTGTGCTGACATTTTGTTTTTGCAGGAGACCCGGCTTGAGTGCCTTGCCGATATACACCTGGCAAAGAGGGAGTGGAGGTGTGGTCCCTCCTTCTGGTCTCTTGCGGCCGAGCCTTACAGCAGAGTTGCGGTGCTTTTTACCGGCATGGTAACGTGTCGGCGGGTCATTGAAATGGAGGTCGGAAGATGCATGGTCTTGGACGTCCTTGTGAAGGGGCAGGAGCTGAGGCTCATTAATGTTTATGGCCCACAGTCAAAGTGGGACAGGAAATGCCTCTTTACAAGGATTAAGCCTTTCCTTTTTACATCCCGGCAGGTTGTCTTTGGAGGTGATTTCAACACCGTTACTAGGCCCAAAGACAG